AGGAGGGAGTGGCGGAGTTGTTAATACTTGCCTCTGATAGATATGCACTTGAAAGCCTTTTAGTGCTGACTTTCTTTGCTTTCTGGTATGACTTGAAGAGTTGTATTGCATCTGGGAGTGATCAGGGTTAGAAAATAGCAGTAGAGCCATCAAGAAAACTTTGCACAGGTACTGTCTATTGACTGTGGGGACAAATGAGCTTACTTACCAGGATATAGAGCTCGGTCACTGTAGTCCATCTGTTTCCTGAAAATTGAGGAGAGTAAAAGGGGGAGGAAGGAGGGTTAGCATCTGCTATGAGAAGTTGCCCATGGGATGGGGGAAATTGGTGGAATGCGAGTGTATCATTTTAATGAAATTGTGCATTTCTGTTCAGATTTGCAACCTACTTTGTACAGTTGTAAAACAGTTCAGGCTTGTACGATGAAGGACTAAGGCAGAGCTGAAGGGACTTGCATTCTATCCTTAGTTTATTTTTAATTTTTTTAAAGCAATGGAGTTGCATTGGCCTTAATGAGATAGTATAACAGATTGTTCTGAACAAGTACAAGTAGCTCTGCTCATTACAGTGGACTAGACAAAAATTCAAGACATTAAGGTGTAGGTTGTTTGATCCTGTACAAATTAGTATCTAATGCCAGTTTAAAAATCCTTCATATATATCCCAAAATAGCAGTGGGTGGTAGTGTCTGGTTATCCCTAGATGATGATACCTGATAGCAGATAGGAAATGAAAGTTGTAAAGAGTCCTGTAAAGTGCCTTTCATCCTCTAGCATTTGTCTTTTTAATTGCTGGCCAGCTAGCATTTTGTCATGTGTTACTAAGCTGTCAGGTGTTACTAAACCTTTGGAAGCAGGTTTCTTGAGATGTGAACCAAGTTTATTATAGCGCTATTAGGTTTGGATGTACCAGAATCTTCTGCTTGTGTTCTGCTCTGTCTCTGGGCTACCTGGATTGTGGTTTTGTATGTAGTCGCTTTTGTGGTATTTGTTTTTTATGAATTTGCACAATCTACCCTGGAACCCGTGTAAACGTTTGGGTCCACAACATCCTGTGGCAAGTTCAGCTTGATTGTAATTTGCACAAAGAGCCACCTCCTTTTGTTAGTTTTGAACCTGCCTTCAGCTAGTGTCTTTTGACCCTTCATTCTTATATTGGGCAAGGCAGTGAACAATCTCTGTGCAACATCTCCAAGCCATTCATTTTGTAGGCCTTTGTCTTATTTCCCCTCTCTGCTATAACTAACCTCCTTTCCAGACTGAAAAGACCTCATCTATGCAGTTTTTTGTCTGGAAGGTATTCCATACTTTTTTAACTTGTCTTTGACTGAGCTCTTTTTTTGCTTAGAAGTCTTTTTGAGTGGTTTTGGTGGTTTGTTGTTTGTTTGTTGTTGGTTTTTTTTTTAAGGCAGGAGGACTAAACCAGCACTCAGGTTTTGCAATACAGGCACGAATTAGTTATATACTAGTGTCACAACAGTGTTTATTCTGTTTATTTTTCTATGTGTTGGTCCATATGGAACACTGAGCAATCCAAATGATCTGAAGTAAACTGTCATATATCCAGATCTTCTTGTGGGTGATAATTACTAGCTCAGAGCCTGTGATCTTATATGGGAACCCAGAATTTCCTTATGCCCACAGACACATAGGCATTGCTTTATATTGATCTATAATCATTGCTTCTGCTTATTGTTCCTCACAGTCCTCCTCCAGTTCTTCAGTTAGTTTTCATCTTCAGCATCTGGTATAACTTTGTGTTGTCAGTGGTCTTCGTAGTTTAACTACTCATCCCCTTTTGTGCGATAATCTATGAATATATCGAACAGCATAAATTTAAAGCAGATTCTCTGCAGGATTCCTGTGGTGGCTACCTTCAGTGTGGGAATTGCTTAGACAGTTTGTGACTTTCTTAGTTTTTGCATAGAGAAATAACTTGCTTTCTTATCACTGGGTTGCTTAGTTTCCTGAGGAGATTTAAGGGGGGGGACTTCTGGAAGCTTTTTGGAATCTCAGGTAGACTGTGTCATTTAGCTGTCCTTTATCCATGTACTACTTCATACTCTCCGTGAAGTCCATTAATTTGCAGGGCAGGACTCGCCTTCACAACAGCCAGGTTGAATCTTTCCCAATATATTATTTGTTTGTGTCCACTAATTCTATTCTTGATTACGTTGTTCACTAATTTGCACAACAGATGTCAGTCTGGATCTTCCTTGAGGCTATCTTTAAATACTGACTGTATTTTTCACACATGATTTCTTTAGGTGCTTTGTCAGCTCTAAGGGAGAGGTTCTGCACCTTGGTTAACAGCAGAACTATTTGATTACTGCTTATATGTTCACTGCTGTTTCTGCAACATCAGAGACCCTCATGAAACAGGTTAAGCTATGGAAACCTCTCTAAACTGTAGGGCAGTGAACACAGACATAAGGATTTTACTTCAATTTTACTTCACTTCATCAGATGCTTGTTTATATCTGATTGTCTGTTGGCCTTTTGGGTTTCTGTTGCCTGCCTTTAAAAAAAGAATTGATGGTTTGGTTGTCTTTTCCTGTTTCGACTGGGCAGCTAGGGGACATTATGATCTTATATCAAATTTGTCAAAGTGTGTAATTCTCTTCCTTTTTGTCTTGGACACATTCAGTTTTTGTAGGGAACTTTCTTCCCTCCAGGATAATCTCTCTTCAGTTCAAGTGTTTTGAGATGTTCTCTTCTGCTCTTTAGAGCCAATGTTTATTAAACACTGATGTCATAATTGAGTTTCTTTGGTAAGACATTTCTTTCTAGCCCTCTGATATTTTACACTTCTATTAAGTAAAAAGCTTTCTAGTTTAACAGTGCTGTCTTTATGTATTGGAGATCAGATTCTTGCTTACTGCTTAGCATGAACGAGGAGGGTAGTTTGAGATCATTTATTAAACAAGCAAGTGAAGAGAGGTCACTCTTCTGCATGAAGAGTTGTGAGCTGTCAGTGTGTCACGGGAGTAGTCGCAAAAATTATTCTTCAGGAGCAGAGATTATGGATTTTTTAGCATCTGACTGGATGATTCTATGGGATGTAACTCTGGTGGTTGCAGGTTGTCCTCCCTGTTCTTCTGGAGTTTATTATTCAGTGACATTCTTGAACAGGGGATGCAAAAAAAAAAATCAGGATTTCTTTTTTTTTTGAAGTCCACCTAGCTTTCTGCATTCATTATTGGCCTGAGTATAAGGCTGGATTTGTTTAGATCTTAAAGCTGTTAGGTTGGGCTTTTCTTCAAAAGTTCAGTTGTTTGCCTTTTGTCTTGTGCTCCAAGTTCAAATTTTAATGTACAGCCCATTTTGAGTCTAATGGTTTTAACCAGTCTGATAAGCAGAACAGAAGTTGTTTGTTCTTGTTTCATCTAAACTTGAGGAAAAAAGTAATTTTTTACTATGTATTTATAAGCCTTGTGGCTGGAAGCCTTGGAATTGTGGAGAGCTCACAGGGTGACAACTACTCTGTCACTATCCCAGAG